CGCGTGGGTCTGGACAACGGCCCCTGCGGTCGGGCTCCCTGTGCGGGCGCCTGGGCCGGAAAGCGCGCAGAGGGCCCCGGGGGCAGGCTGGGGTGCCCCCTCGGCAGCCACTCAAAGGCACGGGTGACCGGGGCCTGTCCGAGCCCTGCGGGCCGCTCGGTCTTCTCTAGAAACCGGCAGGTCCCCGCCCTGGGGCTCGGACACGGCCTGCGGGGCCGGGGCAGGACCCCGCCAGGAGAGGCCTGAAGGCCGCGGGGCCACCACATAGCAGCGGGCCCCCCGCAGCCCTCGCTTCCCGCCGCGGGGCCCCGGCTGAGCAAGGGGCAGCAGGCTCCGTCGGGCGATGCCCACAGCGCCCCGTCCTCAGCCGAGGGGCAGGTGGGCCCCGCGCCTGGAGAGCCACCCGGGGCCTCGCACTGGCTGAGGGCCCCTCCTGGATGGCAGGATCCGGCCCAAGAGCCCCCCCGCCACGGCACCCCAACACGCTCCCCCCACCCGCGGCCGGGGCTGCGGCTCAGCAGTGTCCTGAGACGGGACCTCGCGGCCTGGGCCTCGGGGCAAACCCCACGGGGCGTGGGTCACTGCTGCCCGAGGCTCCGTAAGCCAGCGTCCATGTGGGCGCGGGGCAGGGGACCGGGTGAGTGGCACTGACCGTTGTGATTCTGCGCCCGGACCGGGCCTGTGTCTGCTGCGTCCCCGCCCCCTGGGTCCAGGGCCCAGCCTGGCTCAGGCGCTGCCACGGGCCTGGCCTGGCGACTTTCCAGAAATGGAAGCGTCCGCACTGGCCACGCACGCACAGGCCTGAGCCACGGCTGCCGCCTGAAACCCGGGCTGTCTTCCGAGCCACGCCCCGCCCCACGTCCCCGCAGCACGTGACCACTAAGGGGCGCAAACCCCAGGCCCCACACTGGGGGCGGAACTGAGGCGTGGCCACCGCCGCTGGCCACCGCCTGGCCCCGGCCCAGCCTGCCAGCACTCGGGGAGGGTCAGCGGTGCCTGGCCCCGTTCCAGCCGGGCGCGCGCCCCGCACCACCCCGTTCCTGCCGCTATCTACCGCCTGTGTGCCCTGCGTCCTCGGTCCCGCGACAGGGACCCTGCACCGGCCAGCCGCTCCCGAGGGCTCTGCCGTCACCGCCCACGCCACGCACGGCAAAGCGACACCGCTGGCAGCAGACGGCA